TGGCTTTCACAGGGGAAAGGAGTGGGGATGGAGCCAGAAGGTCACTGGCTGTGGGGAGGGGCTGGCTGTGGGGTCTGGGAATGTGACTGGGGGGGGGAGAAAGTGGGGCTGCTGGGTTGGTCAGGGTGGGGGAGGGGAAGTAGCTGGGACTGGGAAACCTGGGGCCGGGGGACACTTGCTCCTCCCTTCCCTTCCGGGGCCTTTCCATGCCCTGTTGCCAGCAGAGAATGGCCCCCCAGCCCAGAGGTGTCCCTGTCTCAGGGCTCTCCCAGCCTCTGCCCATTAACCCTTTTCCCATTTCAGAAATCACTCAGGGGAACGATTTCCCACCTAAACAAGGACAAATCACTGCAGGTAAAAATGGGGGGGAACACCCCAAACCTGAGATTGGAACTGGCCATTGGCAAAGTGGACAGAAAATGGGGCACAATCGGGGGAGGGGAACAGAGACCTTCTCAGGGATTTGAGGGAAAAGGGGGGGGGGTCACCCTGGATGTTGCTCGTTGCTCTCTAGAGAGAAGGGGGCAGGGCTGGAGAGGATGGGGGGGTCCCCACGGGAGGGGGCAGCGGTAAATCCGAGGGGATCTCAGCCCCCCCCTTTCTCTCCCCGCTCCTCGAGGGGTCACCTGCTCTCCCCCCCCCCGGCCATGTCCGGGCTGCACAGACATTTTCCATCCGCCCCTTTCCCAGGTCTCCCCCCCGCCCGGCAGCCCCCGCCCAGCCCCACGCAGGGACCCCAGTGGGGGCTGGTCCCCTCCCCCCGGGATCCTCCCGTGGGGCCCCAGGGCAGAGCCTGGCCGGGCCGGGGTCGTTGGGCTCCTGCGGGGACAGCAGCTCCGAGCCCCTCGCGGGCGCGGCCCCAGGGAGCAGATCCCGGCGCTGCGAGATGCCGGGTCCCCCCCACGGACACTGGGGCAGAGTCACCGCCCGGCCCCGCCCCCGCGGCTCGCTCCGGTACCTGGAGGCTGCAGCTCCGCAGCGGGGCGGGCAGAGCCCAGGGCGGCCCCAGGGCGGCTCCAGCGGGAGCAGGGCCCGGGCCGGGCCCGGGGGGGTTAATGGGTCTCCCCGGCACAGACCCTCCTGCTCAGCCCCGCCCCGCAGCGCCAGGGAGCAGCAGCGGGTGAGCGCTGCCTCTGCGCATGCGGGACTTGCCCCCGATCTGCGCATGCCCAGAGCTTGAGCGGCACAAAACCCTTCTCCGGCCCCAGGAGAGTCTCCAACGGCCCCGCACGAGCCAGGCAGAGCCGCAGCGCCCCGCGCGCGCTCGCAGCTCGGGCTTGTCCTCCCCCCTTTCGATGTCACTTCCGCTCCCGGGAGAGTCAGGAACTACATCTCCCAGCCTGCCCCGGAGATCGCTTCCGTCCTCTTCATCTCAGGGAAGGGAGGGTTTCAGCAGCTGTTACTGCGCATGCTCCTTTCCAGCCCCATTCATCCTCCCCTCCCTCCCGGCCAACGTCACTATCGGTGCTGCCTCCGTGTGATCCGGCCTGGGGGGCTTTCTCCGGAGCCCCCGCGGTGAGTGAGAGACCCGGGGGGGCGCTGGGGCCGGGCAGGAAAGTGACTCTCCGCCCCGGGGAACCTGGGAGAAGCCTCGGAGCTGCCTCAGCCCCAGCGGAGCTGCAGCAGGATCTGCCCCCGGCACCGCCGGGATTGGGGGGGGCAGAGACTGGGGCCCGGCGGGGGGGTCCCCTGTGGGGGGAGGGGGGTGTTGGGGTTGGGGGGTTGAACTGTCTCTGTGCAGCCAGGAAATCCCCGGGGCAGAAGTGTGGGGGGGAGGGGAGTTAATTGGATCCTGTCCCTGTTTGTGCCACTTGCCTCTCACCCCCTGATACAAATTCTCTCTAGTTCTTCCCCTTTCCTCTCTCAGCATCTCACACGTGGCTATAAAATCCGGGGAGATTCCCCCCTTTCCCCTCAACTGATCAGTTCTCTCCTCTCCCCCGATTTCCCCCCGGTCTCTCCATAATTCTGATTTTCCACCTTGAATTGCACAGTTTGTGACATGTTTTCTCTGCAAATCTCAAAGATTGATCTAAAATACCCTCAACATTTGCCCCACTTCTCTCTAGTTGTCTATTTCTAATTGAATATGCCCTGAGATTTTCGCCCGTCTCTCTGATTATAAAATACAAAGGAAATCTCAGATTTTCTCAGATTCTTGAACATGGATATAAAATGTTTTCAAATGGTGCCCATTTCCTCTCTCTTCATTTAACAAATGTTGATGGGAAACAGGCTGGAAATCTGAGAGTTTCTCTTTAATTTCTATGTTATTGTCAAATGTAAATTAAAAATCCTTTCATGTTTGGGGCTGTTCCCCATGTTTCTAAATCCCAGCAAATTCTTCTTCCTTGCAGGGAACCTGTTGTCCTGAGTCGTTCTCCATCTTGGAGGTTGCAGGGGATTAAATTGCCCGTGATCATCTTTCCCCTCTCCTTTGAGAATCATTTCTTCCCCCCACCCTTTTATCTCTGTTAAAATGTTTGCCGATGAAAGAGATGAGCCACATATTTAATATACATTAAAGCCAGAGGCCTCCCCATGTTTGGGGATCAGTGGCCCCCACCTGGTAACAGGAGAGTTGGCTGGACTCTTTTCTTTTCTCCAGCTGGCACGGGATGAGGGGTTGATTCCTGCAGTGCTAAGATGTAGCCACCTCTGGGGTGGATCCATGGTGACCATTATTTGCTAGTGACAGGCCATGGACATTTCTTATCTTTCTTCCCCTCCAGGCCTTCCATTCTCCTGTTCAAGAGGCATCCTTCAGGGCTCCCTCTGCCTGTGTGACTGGCCAGCAGGGGGTGGTGATAACTTTCTATCCACTTATCAGACACTGTGAGGTAACACTGTTGCTCTGGGGGCAAGGGGTGTCTGTGTGGCGAGATTACAGCTGGAGCTGAAGGGGCATTGTGGGAAGGGGAGGTGTTTGGGTGAATGGGCAGGGGGTACCCTAGTCAGGTTGGTGGGTTCTGGAGGTTTGGGGCTTCAGGGGGTGGTTCGACAGAGATGGAGCTCTGGCAGTAGGTCAGGGAATGCCAGAGAAGCAGAGTGAGGGGTCCCACTGTAAAGCATCAGGGGGTCCCGCTGGGCAGAGGAGGGGGTCCCAGACAAACGGCATGGCAGATCCTG